GGTCCTCGCTCGCCGGGGAAGCCTAAGGAACCCTGCAAAATATAACGCCGTACTGCCAGAACCAGCCCTGTGCCAGGGCTCTCTGGTCCCCCTGAGCATCCCCGGGTTGAACCAGCTGCGGGGGCCCCCCCACCAGCCCGGGCGAGGGGGAGCAGGGGGAGCAGGGGGAGAGGGCTTTGAGCCCTGCTCCGCTCACCTCTCGGCCTGGAGGTCCCCTCTCTCCTGGCTCCCCCTGGCTGCCTTTCTGGCCCCGCAGCCGCTCGGACACTGGCAGAAATGAGTCTGAGCTCCCATCGTAGGCACCCGTGAGCTCCTTCAGGGATGAAACCTGGGAGGGAGGAAAGAGCCACTGGTCAGGGGGTCAGTGCAAGCCAGCGTGGCAGCACCTCACGGCCCCACCAACCCATCCCAGGTTGCTCGGGTCTTGTACCACCTCCCATGTCCCCCCTCCTGCTGCCGCGTGGCAGGAACAGCCCCCAGCCCAACAGCCAGGGACTACGTACCTTGATGCCAAGTGCTTCCAGGCTACGTTCAATGTTCTGAAAAAAAAAAAAAAAGACATTAAAAAAATAAGTGGGTGTTGGCTTGCTCCCACCCTGGGGGCTGTGGAGGGTCCTCTGTCCCCCAGCGCTGACGTCCCAGCCCAGCAGGTCAGGAGGTCAGGGGGGGACTCACCACTGAAGTCCCAGGATCTCCGCGTGCTCCAGGGTTGCCAGGTCGCCCCTAGGTTTGCAAGGAGAGGGAATGCAAAGAGGTACAGATGTGAAGTGGGTGAGGCGAGCAGTGCTGATGCTGCCCTCAGTAGGTTTCAGAGTTAACACTGCTGGTGCTGCCTTGGCAGGGGCTATGGTTGCCACCACCCTGGGGTGCTCCCAGCTTGTCAGGGCCTTTTTTTTTGGCTCCCCTTGCAGTCCGGGCTCCCCCGGGTCCCCCTGAAACACAGCAAAGGCGTCGGGGGGGCAGAGCCAGGCTGCCTGGCCCCAACTCCTGTGCCAGGGTCCAGCCCTGACAGCCTGGGGGCAGGGAGTCCCACCAAGGATTCGTCCCCTCTGGCATGGGGTCCCTCAGACCTTTGCCTTGGGGGGCTTGGGGGCAGAGGCACACCTACCTTTGGTCCGGCCACCCCACGGAGGCCTGGCAAGCCCTGGAAAACACAGAGGGGACACAATGGCACTCAGCACCCAAGGACATGGGGCAGTGCCCCAAGGGAGCCGTGGGCAGGGGTCCTGCCTGCCCCACAGCAGCCCGGACTCCAGGGTCTGGTGCTGGGTGGCACCGTGGGCTTGAGGACTACGTACCTGGCCTGGGGGGCCGACCTGCCCCGGGACACCAGGGAGTCCAGGGGGGCCGAGGGGGCCTGGCACACCTCTGTCCCCCTGCTCACCCTTGGCACCGCTGTGGCCCTGCCAAGAGAGCAGCGTCACCCCCAGCACCCAGGCACCCAGATCTGTACCCACTGGGGGCATGTACCCACCACCCCCCATCACCACACTCCTCTGCGGGGAGGTACTCACATCTCTGCCAGGGGGTCCTGCGTCACCTTTGTCACCCTAACCAGGAGGGAAAGGAGTTAGTTAGAGGAATGCTGCCCCAAAATGACAGTCCTGGACCCGGGCAAGGAAAAGTCACCGGGTGTGTGGTAACTGTGCAGAGGCCGCACAGGGACCACCCGGGGCTTGGCTCCTTACCTTCCTCCCATCCTCTCCCGGTGTCCCGTCTTCTCCCTGGGGACAGCCTGCCAGTCAGCGCCAAGCTCGACCGCCCCAGCTACCCCTGGCACGGGCACCACACAGGATGGGGACAGGCACCGCGGGCACAGCTCAGAGTGCAGGGGCCCTTTGCAGCATGCCCCCCTCATCTTTATGTTGGACTGGGATCACCAGCCCTCAGGACACCTGGGCGAGGCCCAAAGCCCAGCCAGGCTCCCCCTACTCACATTCTTGCCGCTGAGGCCGGGTTTGCCGTCGTCGCCGGGTTTGCCCTGGGAGGAAGAAGAGGCAGTGAGAGAGCCCCCCCGGTGCTTCCCCCGGCACCGGCAGCTGGGGGTCCCTGGGCCCCACCACGGCCCCAGTGCACAGCAGGGAGCTGAGCACGGGGCGAGCCCCAGCAGACGGAGCCGGCTGGGACTGACTGCAGAGGGCATGGGGCAGGATGAGTCCCCAGGGCACAGGGTGGCCAGTACTTACAGGGACGCCGGGTGGTCCCAGGGGGCCCACGGGG